TCACTCCCTGTAGAGATTGAGATGTTGTCCAGCGCACGAAGAACCAGGTCCATTATGTATTTTCTTGTCCACCGGTTGCTATGTCGAAATAAGTCTACAAAACTTATAGAGATAAAGGAACACACATACCTCCGCGAATCAGATCTTTAGAATGTGCATACAAAATATGACCACGTTTATAATTTACACTTACAATTTTAGCTGCAAAAGATGTGAACTCATTTAGAAGAGTTCGAAATGACATTGGAACCTGGAATTAATGATACATTTAACTATATTTCTTACCGGAAGAATAGGAAAACGTTGAAGATCCTTCACAGCGTCATAAGGACGCAAACGTAGATCAATGTCTGTTTTACTCCAAATTTTCCAGAACGTCAATAATAGGGAATCACCTCTTCTGAGACATTCTTTTAGGTGTTTATGAGCACTTTCAACACGGTTGTTTGTGTGGTTGCCCAGGCTTAATACATGTCGCCGGTAACAGCGAGCCCACATTGACTTCCTAGCAATCCAGTAATCTTTTATGTAATCATACGCCCGTGGGAAATGCGTTCTTAGATGTTCGTACTTTCGAGTAAATCTGAATATAATGCGCTATGAAAAGCGAAGCTCACATATCAGACCGTCTAGTCTTCACAAGCTGTTCCAAGCATTTGCGCACATCAGGATTTCGGAACTACAGAAAATAATTTGTACAGCTAACACATACCTTCCTGAAAAACGCTCTTAGGACATGGAATGAACAAAGTATTATGTTAGAATGACTGTGCGTAGACTGCACAGCCGAAATTTCGGTCGCTGCCGAATCCATAATGAACGTGCGTGTAGCATAAGTACCGCACATTATCTCTTTAAAACATTCCAATAGTTTTTCTATATCTTCGCGTCGTTCTTGACTGCAAAGAGCATACATAACAGTGTGCCCTTGCCCAAGACTATCAGTGACCACTAGCTGGAACAGTGGAAAGCTTTCAGATAAATTTATTACTAATCGTCACTTACCCGACTTTATTGGTCTGATAAGTCGAATCAATACATATTACTTCCGGGAACGCGTGGTAAACAGCTATTTGCTCTCTGCGGCTGAAGCAAATCATAGACATGTTCCCATTTTCATAGAATACTTTAACTTCAGTCTTTCCTTGAATGCGCTGTAAAATGTTATTGATATTTTTAGTGTCTAAACTCAATTAATTACAATGTGAGTTCAACAACCTGGGTACAACTGTGAACGCATTCTGGCGATATCGTCCTTGGTAAGTTGTTTATTGAACTTCAAAGAAACAAGATACCGTAAGCTACGAGTTGGTGTATTACTCAGTAGAAACGTTCTTAAATACAAGCGTTCACTTGAGGTCAACTGTCGTTTCGATGGATCGACAGAAATATATCCTTCTGTGCAAGGATGGTTGTGCACGGTTTTAATAGAGGTGAGTTTCAACTCACCATTCAGTGCCCGGACCCAAAATCCTGATTTACAGTGGCAATATTTCGACTTGAAGGATAAATTCACTTGAAGTAAGGCATACGTAGATGACCGACGTCGTCTCCTTTGCCTAGGTTGTGTTGGCGAGTTAGAAGTTGTATGCTCTTCAGAAGAATGATTATTACCATCATCATCTACATCCTGAACGCAAGCATCTGACTCTGACGAACTGCGTTTACGTCCATATGTACAGACATATCTCACGAAAAAGTACTTTAGAGTTGGATCATCACTGTTCTTTTTGCATACTGACATAACGTACTTAGTATGCGTATACTAAAAAAATAATTATTAACCACAGAGGTCATATTACCTTATGTACTTCTTTCAAACAGGTCTCAAAATTGTCCCAACTTGTAAATCTTCGAGATAACATAATATCATTGAAGATTCGGCCTCTATCATGCATCATCACGATGGAATCGTCTTCGTTACTTGAAGAATGAACGTTATCAGACATAGTGTAGCTGAACTCAATTCAAATCCAAAAATGTCTTGATTTGACCGCTTCTGAAAATTTTCACGAATTGTCGATGTGACGCACCAATCATTTTGCGACAGTTTGACCTTCAAGTGCTCGCAACCCCCATCAGTGGACGATACCCTAGGAGCGTTGCCACGTACGATCGGTTCACAGGAAATTTTGTACAAAACGTGATAATTGAGCGGCTATAACAAATAAAACGGCGAGACTATAATTTGTGGGCGAATCAATCAGTTATAAGATAATAGATCTCGGATTTTAACGCGAAAGACTTCCACCAATCTGGCTAAATAAATTTCTGGCATTATATCTGATAACAACCCCATATATAATTCCTAACTAAGTCAAATTACGACAATTATTGCGAACTGGATAGTAAAAGCACCAGTGACACTGGCTGATGCCAAGTACTACATCCCAGTAAGAAATGTACGTATGTATACTCGCTAGGTTTTTGTGATGTCTAGAAATTTTTGGGGAAGTTTTGCGCTAAAAAGAGTTTTGGGAAAAAACCCCAAAGTCAGGGGAAATTTGGATTTTTCCTCAAAATTGTGAAAATTTTTGGGGGTTTTCCTAGTAAATATAGGCGCACTTCCCCAAAGTTTAATAAGATTCTGGGGAAATTTTGGGGTTTTTGTGCCATTTCCCCAAAGTTTACTATGGCGGCTTCATCAAAGTGGGTCAAATTTTCCCCAAAATTGGGAGCTCGGGTTGGGTTCTGTAGCCGTATGGATGATTTCCTCTACTGCATGCAATACGATTTTAGAACCTCTGAACCTCTTCCTAACCTGGACAAGTTTTTGAGCCACGTATAAGAAGTGTGTCCACTTTATTTCCTTGTTTTTTTCAAACATTTTTACTCTATACAGACTTTGTTGGCTGGCTGATATTTCTCAAGGTTACTTTAGATTCGTTCAAAGGTCGTCCATAAATTAGAGTCGCGCCCACTTAATATCAGCATCTTCTGTCAATAAATTCAAAGTGAATTTGGATTTCAACAGCACTAAAAATTGCAAGGATTAACATAGGTCAACTGGCTTCCTATCCTTACTACGTAGTAAGTAAGTACTGAATACCAAAATCTTACTTCGGTTGGAAGTCCGGTCTTCAGCGATAAAAAATAGTAAGTCGTTTGACCTGTGTTAATCCTCGGAGCGAAGATCCAGCTTCTCTTTGAGATTGTACACTGGTGGAAATGATGACACCTGTTCGCGTAGAGTACTCTGGAACGCACCTTCTAGTCATTGAACAATCGGTGAAAGAGAATCCCACTGAGTTTATTTGGTTGAGGTTTTTTAAACTCATTGTGGCCTCGGAGATAATTAGTTCCGTAGGGAGTTATATCATAAGTGTTAACATCAAAATCATTACTTAAGATGCGGAATAACAACCATAACAATTGAAAATCTTTGAGAATTGCTGTATTGCAATCCGTAGTTGTTTTCAAGTCATGACTCACTGATATTCCTGTCTTGTTGTTCCTGCACTCGTAGAAGCGACATACCATTAACGGCATACTGCTAATTAGCAGTGGTTATAACCATCGCCGTGTCCAATGTAGAATAACACTCTTGGTGATTCGTTGACGTAGAAAAAGAAAAATAGGGGACGTAAGATGGTGTCTTAAGGTATACTGATCTTAATCGATTTCATTGCAGATGGTGTTCTATCTACCATCATCCTTTGTCTCTGGTCACAAGAATTTCTCTCGCTCTTATATGACTCCTGTTGTTCCAAAGCTTGAGAGCATTGCACAAGCCCTTATCGATACACATCAAAATATTTGAATATCACACTGATAGTCAAACCACTATCCTAGGTTGGCTGTCCAATTATCTCTATTGGTTAGTTAATCATAAATATTGAGACTCGTGTTTCTTAAGGGTAAATAGATTGCATGATTCTACATGACTTAGTAACTAAGTCCGAATTGTTTCTCAAACACATTAGCTACTGCGTTAGTTGGACCAATAGTTCAGTAGTTGGGAACGATATATCTTTCTATACTTAAGTATAGGGTTAGCGATAGCATTCTTTTAATCTCTAAAGAGTCCGGAAAAGGGACATGTTAAATGGTGCCGTGAGTGGTTCTGAAATAATGCCCAGGAGGAATAATAGCAATTGTAAATGTAACCTGTCGGGCCCCGGTGACTTACAAGCATTGGTATTGTAGCGGCAACTACCATGGTATCTCAGTGGCGTGGTTATTGGGTGTGTTGACAACAAAGCCAGCAGAGTAGACCTCACTGAAGTAGTTTGACAAAATCTCAGCTTTGACCATGTTTGAATTATCGTGTAATAGTAACGGGGGACTCCAATACTACGTTTTGTTCTCCGCTTGACATACGAAAACAATCGTTCTTGGGAATTACGGTTATCGTGTGTCGAATGTCTTTCGTATGTAGTGCGGGGTCTAGCTCTAGCCATTTTACGTACACCCCTGATTTTTCGGTACTCATACTTAAATAACTCACGACCAGTGTTAGAAACAAGTCGCAAAAATGTTTCCTACTCTGTATCATTTTCCGATTCATGAAAGGCGGTTTCATTGCTTATGTGCTGACCATGATATGAACGGCAATGTTATGGCCTCGAATATGTCTTCAAACCCACTCCATCTGTATTCAATCAACCTATCTAAATGACTGACCAATTTTTCGAGGTAGCACAGTCTCTCTTTGCTGGAATGTTGGATTAGAAAGAACAGGTATTTCTTGTTTGGGTTTTACGTTCTTTTTTAGTTTGAGATACCGCAAAATAGTTTTTGTTTTTAACACATGGTCATTTGAGTCTTAAATAAACATACACTTTAGTGTGACAGTGCTATCTTTCATTGATGTCTAAATTTCTTACAAGAACTAGTAATTTCTGTCTTAATGCTAACAGGCTCGGCAGTATAAGTTAGTTTAAGTCCCATCATTTGATCTTATACCTTCAGGAGTATGGTTTTAAAACACAATTGTATCAACTCATCAGTTAATTGATGTCAGCTATTTGACTAATATTTCTGTGCTTTTTAGCCTTCAGATGGATGAACGCTTTACTACGGCGTTGTCTATATGGATCCATAAACCCCAGGTTGTACATAAAGATGTATTTGCTTCATCCGTTGTATCCGAAACTGATGAATCCTGCGTAAGATTTATCTATCCGAAGCTCCGTACTGGGATCAGTGAATTCACTGAAGTTTGTTCCAAAGGATCAGCTTATAAGTTTTCATCGATCTCCATAACTTACATTATCGAGGAAACAAAGTAATTTTACTCTATTATACTGATTAGTAGTGGTCGCATTCAAGTTTCCGTCTTGGATGAGTCTCCTGGGTTTCTCCAGAGTTCTTGGCTGAAAGAAGTCCTTGAACAGAAGCTTAATCTTTGGTATTCTTGTGATGCAAAAGTTAATATTCCTTCCCTCTCACTAATTGATTGCCGTTTATATCAATTGCAATACGAACGCTTGAAAAATACCTATGGACCTACTCTAGTTAAGGTATCCATTAAAATCGTGATGGATTATTTGTAGTAGAACTGGTCGGAGAAAACAGACCCAATGAAATTCGTGTATGAAGATATTGGCATAGCTTGCTACCTTATAGTATGTCAAATTGCACAATAAATTTTCTTTTTTAGTGTTTATGGAAAAATGAACATGTTAATTTCGTCGATCTTGGTTGTGGAAACGGATTGTTGACGTACATACTTTCGTCGGAAGGAGTAAGTTACTTTGTCCTTTATTCAACAAGTTCACTGGCATAGGAATAGATGTACGTAGAAGGCACATTTGGAAGTCTTATCCACTAAGTGTACAACAACGTTTAAAGGTATGTTTTTTGTGCTTTCTCAATCCCTGAATTGCATGTGATCTTTAAGTTCTCGGTGTATTTCACATTTAAAATCCCGATTCTACACCCTACCAAATAAAATGTGATTTTCTTACAGGATACAGAACGGTGTTTTAACTTCTTTGACCTCAGTAACTCTCAACCATTGTTTTAAATGACACTACTACGTGATATTTAGTTTGTATAATTTTATCTAATTTTAAAAATAAATCCTAGGAAGGTGATGTTAATATACAGCTTCCGATCATTTTAAATAAAACTGGCTTCCCGTACACCAAGTATTTTTTGCCCATAAAACTAGCTAAGTATTTTGTTTTTTAAAATATTCGAGTTGTAAAAACCACAAGTAAGATGTTATACCTGGGTTTAGCTCGTGGCAATTTAAATATTATGGTCGATCTGAAAGTCACTTTTTTCTATCTTCAAATGGCTGATCTCTTAATTAGTAGGAGACCTTGACATCATATATAAGTGATATTGTCGTCCTGTGTAATGAATAACCAAATCTCATTTATCTGCAAAGTTGGAAAAGCCATGAATAACAAAGCAATAAAAAATAGCGAAGTATGACATTAATTTCAGATGTCTTTAGGCACAATGGTCTAGTATTGTCGGTAAGGTTAACTAGGAATTTAATTTGAGTTCGGGATCTAAACGTGATTTCATTTAGTGAGCCTAAATCGGTAATTGATCTATTTCGTAAGAAAAGATAGCAACGCTCTCGTAAAATAACCATAGGACAACCGATTAAACCAATACAGTTTCTAAAATCATCTAAATTATGAATGATACTTTGGAACAGTAAACTCGAAAAAAATCGATTTGAAGATCAAAAGAGTTGATCATAGGAAGTTAAGGGCAGCTCAATCATCACGTGGCACCGGTTTATGAGCCCACTGGTTGTCAAATCGATCATTGTTGATAAACGCAGATTTCTCGATCGCGGTTCATAATTATCTTAACATTCCTCGTTCGCAGTGATACATATCCAGTCATATATGGCTGGGACCTGTCGATAAATCAAGACTCCCCTGTCGGGTTTCCAGAGATCTAGCAGCTCGCTGACTTGAGACGTTATCAGACATGAATCAGCATTGAAGCCAGTGACGATTGTAATGTAGTTTCCTACTACAATGTTACCGCTATTAAGATAAACTTTCTTAACTAAAAGAAGTGTTGGTTGTGTTCTTAATTGAGCTCTATCCCATATTAAATACACTTTCTGTTTATTTATTGATTGTACGACCCGTCTCTCATTTCTTTGCAATATTATAGCTTCATTTGCTTGGCACACTTATTTATGCCCTATTATACCAGAATATAAATATATTTCTAATGGAAATATGAATAAAAAATCAATGTTCTTCATTTAAAAAGCCCAGACGAATTCATACTCCCTTTTATGACCCTTCAGATATTCGACCCAACTCTAGTTTTTTTGGTTGTTTCTATCTTTCTATGGTTACCTCCATATTCTTTCTCATTATATTTGTGTAATATTGGCTAGGAGTAATAGTTTTATTCTAATCCAGTCCATCAGCTACAGCAATCCAGTTTTTTCTGAATTGTATTTTTAACTAAAATTCATTTATAATGTTACTCAACTCTGTAAAATCTCGCTACCATTCTTTCATATTTTAGGAAATTTCGTTAAATCCAGAAGAAGTTTGTGGGTTTCCACAAGCCAATTGGCTAATTGGGAATCACAGTGATGAACTTACACCTTGGTTGCCTATACTGGCATGTAAAAGTGGACCATCATGCAAGATATTTGTTTTACCATGTTGTCCTTACAGTCTTTTTGGAAAATTCAATATCCCGAAAAGTTCACTTTCATTTTTACCTGACGACATAAATGTCAAACAGATAACAGAAAATAGTCGATATGGTACATATCTTAATTATATACAACACATTTTTGCCATTTGCAGATTTATACCTGAAGTTGATGCGCTCAGAATACCATCAACCAAACGTGTAGGTTTGTAACTATTAGTTATTTGTCGAATTTTTGAGTATATATATATATATATAAAGAGAGAAGGAATGTAAATTGCAATATACTCTGCTGTCATTAACTCAACAAAATATCTATTGTATTTCTACGAACAACCTGGTGGCTTAAAGATGAACCACGATCATGTGTGAGTTACGTCACAAACCCTGCTAGATTCAAAATGCACCGTAGCTATATTGCCAGTTGCAGCCGTCTACAGTTGTGTATGCCATCCAAAAACGAACATGAAAATTTCTCATTTGGTCTTGTTGCACAATTTTACTCTGTGGTCATTAATTCACTGGTTGAGATAAAGCTGATGGCATACCATATATGACAAGGAGAGGTAGTTAAAACGGTTGCTATAGTGTCCAAATCATGAAGATGGATTCTATGAGACTGCTTAATTTGATCACAAACTTAAGGCTATAGGCTGACAAGCTAGTAGAGAATTTATTGTTGGAGACATTCATTTGTTTAGTTTCACATCGACAGCTGTATCTTATCGTCCATTGTTTGGGGGGTTCACATAAGATTTTTAGTCTTAATTAACTTTATCTGCTTGTTTTTTTATCGGATTTTTCTTAACTACTTTAGCTAATATCATAGTCGTCTCTAGCTTTTGTAGTGCACTATAGTATGATATCGCGGCTGTCTGTAATCTCACAGATCACAAAAACGAAGCTATTGGTTCAGTGACCTAGTTTCTCTTTAAAATCCACTAGCCAACGTAATCTTTATCACTAATTGATAGAAATAGTTTCGGGACAATAAATGGTTTAGTTTTCTTCCAAAATCAAAGAACACACACTAGCATTAGATAGTAAACATTTGCTTCGCATTGATCCGATGACATATTTCTGTAAGTCAACAAATAAAATGAGTTTCCCGGTAATTCCACCTCGTTTTAAACGATGTATTCCGACTGTTTATGAAATTCACATAACTTTCTACTGAGTAATTGTTAACTCCAGTTTCTGTTTTTTGCATGTTATTTTTATGTTTCGTTGTTCTAGATATGTATTGTTGGTCGAGATATAATCGATTCAAAGTGTTTTGAAAATAATGAGCACTCAAATCGTTTGTCTGCTGTTAATAAATACATTGAATACGAACGTGATATTACTTCAAAGCCTAACAAAACGTTTGTTGCACGTCCACCCACAGAGGTTCCCTGTAATTGTACAAGAGTTTCGAAATTTGTTCTTGACAAAATATCACATACAGTTTTCAAAGCCTTATTAATCTGCAAACCAGATAAATATCGTTTACAATCCCATAATCTTATGCTTTCTGATGATTTAAGAATAAGAACTTTGGACAATCGTTGGTGGAATCCTGGTGGTAAGTTTCCATAACAGTTTTATTGGTAGATACTTTTCCAAATAGTATCCAATTTTTCACTGTAATGTTGCAAGTTCAATAAGTTCAAGGGTATTTTTAGCGTAAGATAAATAAGGATCTAAATTATCATACGGATCACTGGGCGGTTAAAAACGCGTTTCACACTATTGACGGCATGATACATAACCTGTCTCTATTCATTATGACAGCTAACGTAAAACAAAGAAGGTGTTAATAAGTAGCTCAACTTAAATTCTTGAAGAAAAATGCTCATTACTCTTATTGTATACGATCAAAATCTAATGGCCGTATATAACTGGTCTGATATATCTCTACTGATTAATTATATGAAGACGACTCCTCATGGAATTAATGTACGCATTAAACTGTCGTGCCAATTATATTCCGACTTTTAGATTTAAGTCAGTTTGGAATCTTCATTTCATGCCTTAAATATTTTGTTTGCATATATCCGTATAGTTTCATCTAAATATTTCATTTTATCAACATAATCTTTTCATGTGGCTGGCGCTTTTTTACTGTATATAAACAATTTCCTAGAGGTTATTACCTAATAATACCTAATAAAAATCGTTTAAAACAGTGAAGGTGGTGATAAAATTTATATTGTTAATATAGATTACGTATAATAATTTCAGGTATTAGTTATTGTAAACTGTCATATGTGATCACAATAATTGCAGTATATAAATCTCTCAACAAGATATACTCATCTAGCATTTATTTGTGACAGAAATTATCACAAGATGCAGTAGAATACATTATGTGAAGCTGCCGTGAAGTTTAGTTGGATGGGTGTACTGAAATATCAGGATAAGAATTGTTATTAAAACGTAGATTTATGAACTGACCAATTGTGGTATAATCCATAATAACGAGTAACTCACTTCTTTTGGTTATCCGTTACTAAATGACAACATCTAAACTCGTCAGTACTGACTACAGAGTTTATTCTCATCCTTTTCTCACCAGAATTTATCAATCAAATCGATAAGCGAGTATAACGATTTCAAAACTTTCTTTGCGACTATAAAAAAGCTCAGGTGCATATTTTGTATGGTTATGTGTTCTCTGGACCGGTTGGTTTAGTTACGAATCTCCCATTGTCGTCTTGGGCATCATCAGAGTCTACTTCAAGCAGAAGTGAGCTGTTTGAAGGTCACTCCTCAGGTGATCAATCAGTCTGTTCTCATTATACTTTTTGTGATTGATGATCTTTGTAGGTTTTGTCATTTTCGAGTATCTATACATACTCGTTGACTGCGCTGTTCAGTTGACCATTGACTGTATGATTGATAAGCATCCTCTTGTTTAGCGTTTTTTTTAACAAGGTTGTTTCTTATTAAATGAAACTGCTACTCCTATGTCCAATACTCCACTTTTACATGGACTTGAAACCGGTAGTAACTCTAGAAAGGCTCCAGGCAGTTACGTTATTGGATTAACAAGACTGTATTTTATGCCGGTGTGTTTATTGATTTCATGTTGAACAAATTATCATGCTTTATTTGTGATCATTAGAATGTCATTGATTACTACTTTCCCGATCAAATTCATCTGGACGGATTGATGTAATTGATAGTATGTCATGTCGTTCTGCTGCTAGTCTATGTTCATGTATAGATCGGCTTGCAAGTGATGTGTCGCCGAATATGGCGATGATTGGTTGTTTGCTTACTCAGACTTGTAGATAGTCTGACAGGCGTTAAATGAGTTATATATTCTCCTATCCCTATTATCATTGATTGTTGTTGGTTTTTGGTGTGAAAATATATCTACGTTCTAGTTAGGTGAATCATGTGTTCTTGATCTGAGTTGTGTTGAAGTCTTGTAGAATAGACATTAACAGGGAATCTAGCGTAGATATTCGTCTAATATCCCGGAGAGATACACTGGTATCTAGTGTGAAAAATTGATGATCTTTCACCATATATACGTGTCAGGCATTCGATTGTTTTTCTGGTCACATCGGCTGGCTTCTTTGGGAGAATAAAATTACAGAACTTTTCATGTTCAGAAACTCCGAGCCTCCGTAGTAATAATCTTAGTTTCGACCCTTCATCCCGCTCTTTACAATCATTAATAAACAAATCCTCATAGCACTTAAACCACGCCTCAAAAGTAGCCCCACTTTCTGGGTCAAATCTAAATTCATTTATTGAATTCGCAGTAGAATCCGAAGTCATAATGGAATTAGATACTTGGGTTCTTGGGGATACTGACATACTCTTGACCAATAATTCGATAAGAGCATTTTGCTGTTGCAATAAAGAATTCAGATCATACACTTTATTGTTACAAAATCCGCTTTAACTGAATATATGGGCGTAGATGCGTTTTAACCACCGTCGCCGCTGTTATAAAGGTCGGTTTCCCACGTCTACACGAACGGAATGTTAGACGAATATCTACGCTAGATTCCCTGTTAATGTCTATTCTACAAGACTTCAACACAACTCAGATCAAGAACACATGATTCACCTAACTAGAACGTAGATATATTTTCACACCAAAAACCAACAACAATCAATGATAATAGGGATAGGAGAATATATAACTCATTTAACGCCTGTCAGACTATCTACAAGTCTGAGTAAGCAAACAACCAATCACTGTCATTGTCGGCCACACTTAATATTTTTCTTGTACTAACTTGAGTATTGCTGGGTTTTTTATTTTTCATGGTTGTATTGATGCTTTTCTCTTAAATATATTTACTTATTATAAAAGATAGTATATGAGAAAAAGTTGGAATAAAATATTCTTCCCTCTTTCATAATAAGGTACATTAACTTTGTCAGAGTGCAGTAAACTTGTGTCACTAGAAGATATGAAATTATTAAAATCTCAGCATGGTGGTTTGCAAACTGTCTTGAGGAATCACCATCAGTGTTTTCGAAGTGAGTTGACTTAACATGAAATTACTTAATTAGTCTATGTGACCTGTATATTTTCATGCAATTTTACATTGTATATGTATTAGCATGTATTAGCAGTTCAAACTGTGACTAGTGTTTGAATGTAGTACTTCTGATTTTTTTAAGTGCACACCATTTGATCGGATAAACAGTACAAAGAATAAAGGATTTTAAAAGTTCTAGGTAGTACTCTCCAGCTGGAATGAACTGGGTGCATAATCTTTAGAGGGGTATATATACTTAAATTCATGATGCAGTTAGAGCTAGAAGCACTGGACGGCCGTCCCGTGCTAGTATGAGACTCATCAGCAGTCCGCATCCACGACCCCGCCCCACGGGATTAGAATTCAGGATCTATCAGTTTCGCGCGCGAACGCTTAACTTCTATATATGTATGGATGTGTGTATGTAAATTTATTACACTTTGACAGGGTGAGTAGGTGTACATATGACTAGATCCGAAATCAAACCTAGTGATTAAATTTAGACAAAGTAAATGAGTATTATACCATCAAATAAGTTAGTAGTGACCGATTAAGAAATTTCTTAGCAGTGTAGACAGGTGTACAATAGTGAAGGTATCTAAAAATGTAGAATAAAGTAGAAATCACAATACTTCAAAAATGATTCCTTATTAATCACCAAAACCTTTTATATTTGTCAACTTAGTTTATTGAGTCAAATCAGAATGATTTGTGTCGGTTCATATACTTTCGTATTCAGTAGTCTATTAACAATCGTAAATGGCTAAGAATTTTCCTCTCCGCTTAGCTAAAGGGGTTAAGCAAATACTCACTCATAAAAGTAGTTAGCCATTTTCGAATGTCTTTAGTTTTCTTGTCGCCTAAGATAATTTGAAGTGGCGATAATCAATGTAATATGTCGAGCTAATCGTTGCAATATACGCTCGCTAGTGCTCGAAAGATGAGCTTTGAGAAGTATTATAAGAATTGTTGAACCTCAATCTAGCCACTTCATGTATACCATTCTTACATGGTAACTGGTTTGTAATTGTGGTAGCAATTTTCTTATTTCTTTATTGGTAAGTCATTCAGGATATTTTTAGAAGTGATATATTTAACAATTTGCATCTCGTATATAAATGCTGTCGAATAGATTTACTAAATGGCTAACTATTCTTTCCACAGATACCTCAGTTTTTATGTTATCTTGATTTGTTTAATATTTCCTCACATTAATTCTCGACGCATATAAACTATAAAGGGTATTTTAACTAAACGGCTTTACTGAAACCCGTTAGATCTTGTTTTCCTTACCGTGGTTGCTAATTTTATCTTTGTTATTTAGTGAAAAAATAATGAATTCCCTTATTTTTTAAAACTTGGTGGAAATTAGGAATCCAGGAGAAAAGTGTATATCATCAATGTGTTTGCTTCACGTGTGATACGATTAATAAACAGTGTTAGGCCAATGAAATAGTAGATTCTGGATAGTACATAACGGTGTGCTAGATTGGTTATTTTTTGCCATTATTATTTTTCTAGGACAGTTGTAGTAGAAGTCAGAGAAACATAAGTGTCAGTTCAACGAAAGCATCAAAAGTATGTTTTCGAAGACAAATTTGTATTGAGTAATATACTGTATGTTAACTAAATTAAGTCCACATTAAAGATTATTTAGTGATTACGGCACTCAGTTATACACATATTCAGAAGAAATGTAGTTCTTTTCGTCCCTAGCTCACATTACTCGAAAGTTTACAACTTCTTTATAGTGTATTGTTTCTGGCCATAGATTGCCGAAAGATGTAGCATTTCAAACGATAAATTGGACAAAGTAATACTAATGCAAATAAACTAGATAAGATGGAAAACCTTACTAAAATCTAGTGGTATTGTAATAAAAATAATATACTTATAAATATTCCAATCCATAGAAAAACTAAATTTTTAAATTTTCCGACTTAATTTTCCTGCTCATTTGGACATTACAAATATATTGTTATTGATAATAACAATATACTTAATACTCAATTTATTTGAAATTATCAAGTCACACCTTGGTAATGATATCTAATGGTATTTTGTTTCCGAGATATTATATCATATCTTAATGTTACACTGTGATACGAACACGCTTGTAAGCAGCTGATGGGAAACCATAAGATAAAATGAATTCATATTATTTTGCTTCAGTTGTTGTTTTGGCTTTATTCAAATTCGTAAAAGAAACCAATCGTATGAAAAACTTATTTATTCGATTGGCTTATAATTACTTTCTAGCAACATAGTTGTTTACTTAATGGCGTAATGTAAAATAAACTTCAGTATGTGATTAAAATACCCCTCGTGTGAACAACAAAACAGAATACTTAGTTATCACGAGATGGGTAGTTTAAAAACTCTACTCACCTCTACAGATAACAGTGACCTCGTAAAATCTGATCATTCGTCTCATTGGATAAAGGTGCTTAAGAAATCCGCTTCATTAAGGCCATTTCCATTTTCGCATTTCACGAATCGCAAACCAGGACGATGTGTTCATGACAAGAATCAATCTGTCTACTAAGTTTATTCTCAACTATGCGTTATTAAGATCTAAATGTTTGTTCTATTCCCATGCTCATGTAAAACTGGTTATTTTTGCGCCTATGGAACTTTGCTCATAGTATTTTTTTGTTTATTCATCAAGCTATCAAAAACACCGTTCAGTTACGTTGGTTACCAGATAAGATGGCGAAGCTTAATGATTCTGGAATTCCGTTATTCAATAACAAAAATGGGAAGAATCGTAAAACAAAACTCTGCTGGATGTCACTTAACCATCCAGATGGTTGTCCATACACTTCTGAATTGTGTGACTTTGCCCATTGCGAAAATGAAATCCTAATAAAAATCGGTTCCATGAAACAATAAACAACAAAGCATTTTCAACCAAATAACGTCTTTGTTTTCTCTCCACAATGTTTTCGTTACGCAATGAACGTAGCTTATGAACTGTGTACTGGCAAAGATTTTGGTATTCCAAACTTGTTTAGAACATAAAACTGCACTAAGAACTAATTTTATTCTTGATACTACTTATAGAATGAATATAAAAAGTAAATAATTAATAGAGTAACATTTCCCATACAGAGTACTAGATTAGTTTAATATTTCACATCATGAAGTGTTTATGTATCAAAGTAATAAACAAAATAGTGACATTTTCAATATACCAAAATAATGTTTAAGAAATATTGTTCATTGTGACTGAATCATAATTAGTTCATTTCTGATTAGCCAGCACTATAGCCAGGAGGGCCATGCGAACATGCGTTCCATACTCCGCTTGACGGAAGTAAGCTGCTCGAGGGTCGGAATCGAATTTGGGGCTGATTTCTCCAACACGAGGTAGCGGGTGCATTACAATCATTCCTCTAGGCTTGGCTAGTGTCATCAGTTCAGGTGTAACAACAAATTGGTCACGCCGAGCATCTCTGTCATCACTCATTCTTTCTGTTTGCACACGTGTCATGTAGAGAACATCGGTATCGGGAAGTGCCTCCTCCAAGCTATGAATAAAAAATAATTTATTAGTTTAGTTTCAACTTTAATCCTGAATAGAATCTTGGTTTACACAGTTGTGTATTGTAGTCGTCCAACGCATGATCTGATGTTTGTGATAGGCTTTAGGAAAGATGGAATGCATCGAATTGTATTTCCGCATCTCTGGCTTTACAGAATATTTAAATAGAATAGTTTTTATAGATACAAACATTCACAGAAATTGTAGTCAAGTTCAAACTAAACCTACCTAGTCATCTCTTCTTGTGGAATGCCACGATCAGCAACATACGATTTAACTTCTGGTGGCATCTTAAATTCATCTCTGTGAGTAACATAACGTAGTTTGACTTTATATAAGCATAATAATCGAGCCAAACTATGTACTGTGCGTCCATTAGCGAGATCTCCGACCATAGTGATAGTTAAACCATTCACTGTCCCGATCTCCTCTCTAATTGTGAAAACATCGAGGAGTGCCTGAGTAGGATGCTCGCCTATTCCATCACCTGCATCGATAAGAAGAAAAACATGAAACCTTAGGTTCAAAAGACGAAATACTATAGGTAATAAAGGTTAATAGTGACAAAAACACGTTTTGTTTGTTTCAAGAACAAGCTACTTTTATAATTCAACCATATATTTAAAGTAGTCTTCGTTGTAATCCCAGCTGATTTCACAGAAATTTGCATCCTCTTAAAAGTCGAATATTATCATCATACTGTGGTTGATAAGTATTAGTACCAAGAATTAACAACACCAGATAAACGTTGTTTTCGATAGTAAGAATAATAGTATTATCTAAATATCAAAGGCTTTGTGACTGGTTAAATTGTTTGCTCAAAGAATAAATAAAAATCTTAATTTTAAACAAGCTTAGATGGCAGAAAAAGAAAAATCAAATAACTTAGTTAGAAGTTATTAAGATCTTATTGTAACTCAGTGTTCCAGATCCATTAAATGCAGTGTCTGGTCGCACTTATTGCGGCGTAAAAATCAAGGAGGGTGTCGTATACGTTGAGAAAAAACGAGCTTTAGCCATATAATATAGTTTAATTACTCATTCCACAATATCAAGCACCATATAAGGTATACGATTGTTTCCTACAACGCTCCATTCATTTGGCGGTGATAATACCCTGTCCTGAGTGAATAGTCAACAAAAAAGGAAGCCTTTGTAACAACTGTCGACGATTCTATGCATCAAATATGAACAATGTCTCTTGTTCTTTTGCATAATGACACATGAAATAGCAATTTTGTTTTGGCCGTTTGCATTTGATTAACCATAAAATGTAAAGAAAAGTATTTCTCTAAACAAAGAAATTTTAATTTTATCATGATAACATCAAAGATCCTAATCACTATTTTCAGGTAAGTTATTAGTTACAGTTTACTTAATGATAACTCGGCTGTGATCACTTTATTGTTTTGTTTGTACTTACAATAGTTCACTATATAAACAACCAAGTTTTACGCCTCCGTTATGACATTGTTTTTGTCATTGTTATTATTTTTAATAAAATAACTAATCGATAAAAGACTTACATCTACATAGTACATTTAATATTCGCGAAATATTAATATATTATCATGGGATAAAGTTATCCATAAGCATATCTTAGAGAAAAATGCCAAAATTCTGTCATGTTAAATAAAATAAGTGATGAAAACTTTACAGATCTTAGTTTGGATTCGTTTATTTCGGAGTATGCTGAAACTTTTGTATTTATTCAGGGGCATTTAGTTTTGAAAACAGCAATAATTAATTTTAGTTTAATACTGTAGTCAGATTACAACATACTCAATTGCAATAGACACAACTCACCAAGAATATAAAGACAATATGAACTAACCTGCATTTATAATTGGTTTGTGTACTATTGAATTTGCTAAAGCGTGTATAGCACCTTTTCCAGGATGCCTAATTACCAAGCAATCACAATAACTGGCCAATATCCGTACAGTATCTAAAACAGTTTCACCTTTTGTCTGGGAGCTGGTAGATTCTGAAAAATGCATTACAGTGCCACCCAGTCGTTGCATTGCTATAGCAAATGAATTAGAAGTACGCGTACTTGGCTCAAAAAATAGATTTCCCATTACCTGATAAAGAATTATGCAAAGTGAAGAGTTAAATATACTAAAGAAGATTTGGTGAAGTATAAATATTTAGTGAGTTGTTTTTATTTAATAAAATATGTATTAAAGTTTTACATACTTTTCCACGGCATATCTGATCTAAAGGTTTGTTTTTATTTAGAGCAACTCTAAAACTATGTGCTAAGTTATACAACCGACGAAGATGATCTCTTGAGAAATCCAGAGAAGAAAGTATATGCTTCCCTGATAAACCTTCTAACCACATACTTGGAAGGGTTTGGTGAGTTTGAGGTAGTTGGGCAGTTGGAATCAGACCAGATACGGAAGGTTGGTATGCAACAATTGGACTACGAGGTCCCTCATCGCTTTGGGTGGTAGCTGGGATCGGTGTACCAGGTTCATCTTGAGACTGAAGAACAAATACAGATGGATATACACACGAAAAGTAAATATTATTTATCAGTTTTACGGACAGATATTTTCATAATAATAATGGCAATTATGTATTTCCTTATAGAATAAGTTATGAAATGAGATCCATGTTGCTACTAATCGATTACTTTCCAATTTCAGTGAATATTTCCTAAGGAAGTGAATCAGCACTAATTGGGAAGTGCTGTATAAATTTAAAAAGCTTCGATTAGGAATACATGACTTGCTTTTCTATTAAATAGATATGAAGCATTACAAAAGTGGTTTTAATGGACATATTTCCATTAACTGAGTTCGGGGGTAACAACCATTCAGTGTTAATCTGGATAACATTCCTATGCAAGTGAGTAGTTTACTTCTCAAAATTGGTCGAAAATGTAAAATGATTGTTGTCAGACACCTCTATTAAAATTGGAATTATTTACCCCGAACAAGCGAGTAACCTTGGTGAGTTTAAAATTTTTTCACCAAACTCTTACTATCTGGTTACAAAGAAAATAAATGGTAACACAACATTCATGTAGATATATGTAGTACTGTAGTGAACAAGAACATAGGTGGTGACAATCGAATATATTCAACACAAAATTACAGGACTTGTTAATAAAATCTAACAATCATAGAGTAAATGCTTAATTTGCAAAATGTCCACCAATTGTCTCAAAATGACTCAGACTTCATTGTTCTTGCATTTTCATACAAATTGCATCCTGTTTCCATTCGTTACTGTTCGATCCTCTTGTCTCTCTGCTGCCAGACCTTCTGTTCACGACTAACATCATATACTACTTATTTCAATATAAGTAGCACACACCACAGTACTAGCTACTTGAAAATACCACACCTTAAGCTGCAAACTTTTCTTGTGCTTAGCTTCATGACGTTGTTAATTTTCAAAATCTAATGGAATGAAATTTTATCAAGAATTTATCTAATGTGATAAAATGTCACATGCCTTGGAATAATAATTTACAAGAATACATAAGTGTAATCAACGATAATTGTACACAATAGGTAACTTACTACCTGAACACGTTCATTAATTGAATTATACCGGTTTCTTAGAGTCGGAGAACCAGCTGAGACAGGAATATGTTTCAAAGAAGTGTCAATTGTTAGTGGGTCGTAAGAATTCTTAGGCAAGGATATGTCTGACGACACATCTTTACCGAAACCAGGTTCTACCAAAACTGAAACAGGACAGAAAAAGAATTTATTCACTGGAAATGTACATTATATATATATATATATATATATATATATATATATATATATATATATATATATATATATATATATATATAGAGAGAGAGAGAGAGAGAGAGAGAGAGAGAGACGAGGGGAAAAGACAAGTTGAATTGCGAGGAAATTTTATTCAGTTGGTTCTCTTTATGAATTTGAATAAGACCAAAACAACGATTGAGGTAAAATAATATGAATTCATATTTCTCCTCAGCAGCTTAAAACCATATTTCGTATTAAGGTTTAACACTCAGTCAGAGACTGAGACTGACTGACACTGGAATATAATATAATCTGAGATAACATACATAGGTGACGAAAAGAATTGAAATAATGATTATCTACACAATATAAGTGAATAAAAGTGCGTGAAGTCATTTGTAGAGTGGATGAAAGAGTACTTGTTTAGAACTTGGAAACTGATAAAACGGATTACTGAATAATTGTAGTAGGTTTGAGGAGTTTACATAAACATGGGGATTAGGCGAGTCTATCATTTCATCAATAATTTCTATTGTTTTTCTAAGACCATATTCCCAGCAGTGGAGAATAAAAAATACCCTTTAATATAAAATTTAGGAAATGGGAGCAGC